GACATCAAAAATTTAAATTAGAAATATTATGCTTTTTAACTTTGTACCTGACTTGAACCAATTTTTTTATAAATTATAAAAAATTTATTTTTATTATAAACTAAAATGATGGCTGTTTTAATCCTTAAAACTAGTCAAGCAATTACTTTTAAGAGCCATGTAGCCGAGTTACTCTCGTCCGTGTTTTGCAGGTAGTCCTTGTTGATTTTGCATATTTGCATGCTCTCATGAACTTTTCTCTTGTGTTTTCCTTTTATCTGTTTTATTGCCTTCAAGTTGCCTTCTGTAATTTTTAGACTCGTTTCGTGAATATGTTTTGTAACCATTGAATCGAAATTCCTGTAAACGAGTTGCATGTTTTACCTTAAATGTTCTTTAGGCCTAGTTGTAAGAGGTCTCTTCGTTTGACTTACATATGTGACATTTGTCGCAATCATTATAACCAATTTTGTATAGATCATTCATGTAGCCGAATTAGTTCAATTTATCCTTAGCCGAAATAAATTTAATAGAATTATAATTGCTTACATAATGAAACTTTTCTCTTGTATACAAAAAATATCGGAAAAGTTTTGATATTCAATAATAAAAGCTAAATCTTATGATTTTAATGAGGCCATAATATAAAAGTCAATTAATTTTATCAAAATTGAAATTATGAAGAGGCTAACATATTCTTTCTAAAATTTCAATAGATAAAATTTGGATTTTCATATAAAAAAATGATTACTCAATTATAATTCAATTTTAATAAGTTTTAAAATTTCATCAAGGATTCATTTGTGTTTGCATAATTCTTTTAAATTATAGCTATTATGTAATAATTTCCATAAACATTGCATACACTACTAAAATACCATTACAAACTTAGCATAATCTTCATTGAATCACTTGAAATGCAAAATTTATTATTATTTTTATTAAAATTACATTTATGATCAGATAAAAAATTATGTGATAATCTTCAAAGAATTATAAGATAATTATTAAAAAATGCGAATATAAAATTACACCATTTTATAACATCTTAAGCTATAAATAATATTGAGAAATAAAATTCGCATAAAATATTCCAAAAATTAGAAAAAACATTTTAAATAATTATTTTTCGGTTTTAATTAAACTGGTCTCATTCATTATAACCTCATTCATTTCAAATTCCGGCCAAATATACTGAAATAGATTTGTTATTATAAAATATCACAAAATAGATAATATAAATTTACTACTATGTTTTAACCATTTAAATATTATGCTGAAAAATTCCAATTTTCAAAGAAAATAAAATTTTGAAGTAAAAGTAAAAAATATTGCGAAACTTTTTAATGAATAGTTAAGGAAATTTATTGAATTTAACCGGCTATACTAAGAAATTTTAAAAAATAAATTTAATTATTAAATAATTTAATATAAATAATGAAATTTTAAAGTTTTGCTTAATTTATTTTCATTTAATCGAAAGTAAGTGTAAATTAATGGAAGCGTATAAATAAAAATATATAAGTATATAGCTATATATCAGCACAAGCATAAGGTTAAAAATAATGTGTATATGGTACCACTGGTTAATACAAAATTATGCGACAAAGTTTAGAGAAACCGCTAAAAGAAAATAATAGTTATGAAATACAATATTTTTTTTAAATACGCATTTAAATTCAAAAAACTTTCTGATATCAAGTTGCGTATACGCTCTTGTACGCTTACGATCAAGAAAATTCGATTTGATTGTTTTATTTGCATGCCTGATTTAAATAACAATAACATTGTATAGTTTTGTCAACTTTTAAAAGAAAATTTACTTAAGAGTAAAATTTATACTTTTCTTCAATACTCGTATATAACTTATAAATTAACCCTTTTAAGCCTAAGAAAACGCATTAGGACATGATACCGATTTAATAATTTACATGCTTATAGACCAGCTCTCAACAATATTAGCTTTCCATTCACATATTCAAACTATAACAATCAGCACTTACTGCGTATATAGTTTTTTAATTGAATGGAATGTTGTTTTTTCATATATGTATGTATGTGAGTGACAATAGCAAGAAATTGTCAAATTTGAATTGCAAAAGTAAGTGTTTTTTCTTGTTATTCAAATGTCAATTAAGAAAGAATAATAAATAATTGAATGCCCAAATAACTTCGAAAAAGTAAGCCGCATCGGTTGCAATATAAAAATATTATTTCTATACATTTGTCCGAAGTAGTGTGGTTATGCTCAGTTTTGGCTACTTGAACATGTAAATAGGTGTTAGTTTTTTTACTTCACATGTATACATACATGTCCCTTTAAAATAGCGATAGCACGTACGTATATGAGAATTACCCCATTTTTCGTTTAAAGATAAAGTAAATTTTATTAAAAGAATAATTATAGAAAAAAAATTCAATCAGCTTAAAATTTATTATCAACTTTAATACTACCTTACTATACTGATGTTCGTTTGGAAAAAATATGCATTTAAAATTACATTACTAATTTCAACAGTAATTCCATTATATAAAAAATTGGCAGCGTATAACATTTTATGTTGCCATAGCATATGTACATTAAATTATGTTTTCTTTGGTATTGCCACGATATTATGGTATTAAACATATACCTGCATTTTAAATAAAATGATAAAGAAATCATGCATGTAAGCGTGTACATACAATATCATATATTAAAATAATGATAATGTCCATATTTATTAAAATTTTGAAATATATATACATACAACTAGTTCCTAAAGCTTCCTCGAATCAACAGTAATTTTTATGATATTAAACTTACATAACATTAATAATAATATTTAATTGCGAAAGTGAAAAGAACTACTGTTATACGCGTTTATTTCAAATAAACAACATGAGCAAAATATATTACGTATTATATACATACGTATGTACATACATGTAGAAATTTGAATGGAACCGCTAAGCAGCATATTAATTTGTTTTCTGCTTCTTATTTTTAGGCTAAAACCAAAACTAAATAATTTTTGATATTTTTAATTCCAAAGAGATAATTTTTTTTTATTACATAAATATACTTTGTATTACGGTAGGTACGTATATATACATACATATAATTACTTTTCTCTTTGATCACATTGTGATAAGTTTATTTACTATAATGACAAAAAAAAGAAAAAATTATAATTACTGTTAAAAAATGAAATTCCACTGGCAGAGCAGCACAATTAAATAAACGAAAAATTTTATTTGCATACAAACATTGTACATGTCAAATAATATTAGTGCGAAAGTAGGTAATCTATACATAAATACATACATACATATGTATGTCTGTTATTTGTGGCGTTAATTATATTGAAAATGTTTATACACGTCAAAAATTGCAAAGTTTTAAAAACTGTTTAATTCTACTTGAAAAAATTCAAATTCAAAAATTGGGGGCACTCTTTTAGCACAATTTCTATGTAAATCACATTGTTCAAAAAAATTTAAAGAAACAAATTTTAAAAATGTAAACTAATTTCAACTTATTTTAACCTCAAAATCATATTTTTATATTAATAGGGCTTCCCCTATACTGAACGATGTTGAAAACTTAATTTTTTACTAAAACTCTTGCAAAAGCATTCTCACGCTCTCACAATTGTACGTCAACCTAGTTAAGTCAACACAGTAATACGCAAATCAAGGAATACAGTTTTTTTTATTAATATTGTTGGTCTACACAGGTTCTAGGAACGTATTGCGTATCTTGGTACTATGTACATATGTGCCATACCAATTATGTCCAAATTATAATTAAAAACGAGAAAAAATTGAGTTGACCTTGTCAACTCTGTGATACCCGTACGAATTTGTTATCCTATATGCGAATATAAATGTCATAACTGACTATTGGACAGACTATGACTTAAAGTTGCCGTATTACCATATTAATTTATTAAATATTGGAGTTGTATGGCAGCTGCCAGAAGGAGCCAAGCAATTTCAACGACTTTTATCAAACATATTTGCCCTACTAATATATTCGCTTGTGTGAAATTTCAATACCATAGCTTTTATAGTTTCTGAGATAAAGCCAAATAACTTTTGAAGTTGTATGGCAGCTACCCGAACCGGTACCCCGATCATGTCCATTTTAAATAGGGTTCTGGCACTTACTACAATAAATCATTTGTGAAAATTTGGTGAATTTAGCCCAATTAGTTTTTGAGTTATCGCTGGAATGGGCGGAGGGCAGACAAAGTTAAATCAACTCAGAATTCGGAGCTGATCAAAAACATACACTTGAGTCTATATCTAAGACAGTTATTTCTTAGCGTTAAAAACGGTAAGGCACCCTTCGAACATACGTTCGTACGAGTATAATTAGAGGCCTTCAAATTGAAATCATATTATTTAATTAAATTATTCAAAAGTACTTTTAATATTATTATCAATATTCATTAGTATAAGAATTATTTTGTGATCATTCTGAGAATTTAACTATTTCACCTAATTTACTGCAAAATTTGCTCACTCTATTTATTTTAATTAATAAAACTTTTATCAATAGTTACAAAGGTAGGCAGTAACCATTGGCATTACATAAATTTTTTTTTTTATGTAAATTTCAAAAAATTTTTCAACCTAATTTTACGCTTTTCATTATGTGAAACTAATGAACCTTCTAAATTTGATATAATGCATGTACATATATGTATATATCAAGGTTTTAAGGGCGCGAGTGTATTAGAGGAAAAAAGAATTATTGAATTATCGACCTTGTCTTCAAAAAAGAACCATTCTAAAAATTCAAAAGTAATTGCGGCACGAATTTGGTAATAATTGTAGAAAAGTTTTCCTTGACTAATTTATTTAAGATAATTGGGGTAGAAACTAAAAATTTTAAAATGTTACGTAAATAATTAAATTAATTGAAGTTCACAACCTACATAATATCGAAACATTTTAAATACTTTTTTCATTAATTAATTCTGGTTAAAATTAAAAAATTATTATAATGTTAAAATTTTATGTTTTACTTGCAGAACAAAATGTTGCGTTTTCTAGTTCTTTTAATATTCAGTACATCCGCAGCATTAGCACAACGACGGCTTGCTCTACCAGATCCAAGAAGTTGCGCTAATAGTAAATATGAATTTTTTTTATATAATATTTTTACTTTAGAAAACCCCAGAATAATAACAAATATTACAATTAATTCTTTTAGGAGTCCGTCATGCAACTTATCGTGATGCAAGAGGTGTAGCACATTCATATTTTTTCAGTTGGGAACATGGTCCAACAAGATCACTTGAAGTAGATTGGTTAGATGCTAGAAATATTTGTCGTCGTCATTGTATGGATGCCGTTTCATTAGAGACACCACAAGAAAATGAATTTATTAAGCAACGTATTGCACGTGGTAATGTACGTTATATATGGACATCGGGTCGTAAATGTAATTTTGCTGGTTGTGATCGCCCCGATTTACAACCACCAAATGAAAATGGTTGGTTTTGGTCTGGATCAGGTGCTAAAATTGGACCGACAAGCCAACGTAATACTGGTGATTGGAGTCATACAGGTGGTTATAATTTACCACAGCCAGATAATCGTGAAGCAGCTCAAGGAAATGATGAATCATGTTTATCAATATTAAATAATTTCTATAATGATGGTTTAAAATGGCATGATGTTGCATGCCATCATTTAAAACCATTTGTATGCGAAGATTCTGATGAATTACTCAGTTTTGTACGTTCTCGTAATCCTGGAATTCGTCTCTAAAAATAAAATTTATTTTTCTTTTAAATATAAGAGAGGTCTTTCAAAATTAATATATATTTTCTTCTTTAGTGATTAAGTTTCGACTTAACGCAGAAAACAAAAAAAATGCAATGTACAATATTATTGTTTAATTTATATTATATATAAATTGATTTTAGAATTATTTTTTTGTATTTGTATTTATATATATCTAATATTTTTTTTAAAATTATTTATCAAATTTAACTATCCATAATAATAATTAATGAAAATTTCCATATAATCACTGGTGCAAATATAATTACATATGTATGTACATTTAAATGTATGACAATAAGGATATAAATTGGATTTTGTATATGAAAATGAAGAAATAGAAAGCGATCATAAATTTTTGTATCCATGTATGTAAGTTAAAAATTGTTCTATAATAAATATTAGATAGTTTTTAAAAATTTTTCCATTAATTTAATAAAAATTTTAATTTAATCAAACTCTCAGTCTCATTATTTCAAAAATATCAAAATAATTTTTTGCAGTACTTTAATCAATTACTTACTAATCGGCCCAAATAATCCAGTTCAATTTAATCAAAATTGTTTGAGTTTCAGCTTTATGTGAGTGTTCATTTTCGGTATGTGCGAAATTTCTATTTGAAAAATAATTATTTTCCGAATTACGTTTACTTACTGTGATAAAAAGTTCGACTACACATTTCGAATTGCGATTAAAATTTATCGCAATTTTCCAATAGGTTTCATGTAAAATATTTCACTAGACATCGGCAATCAAAATTTAAACTTAATAATAATAATGTTTTTTTTGTACAAATGAAATGTCAATAATATGATTGTTTTATTTTATTGTTTCATTAACATTGCTATTAAATTTTTAAATACAATTTTTATTTGTAAAATATCTGAAGAGTCAAACTAAAGGACTGAAATATTGAACCGGAATTATATCGGAATAATATCTAATTGGGAAAACTCCTTTTGTAATACCTATTGCAATACTTTTAGTAGAAATAGACTAGACCGTATTTGTAGGATTAAAAACGCATAAATTGTGAAATTATTAACAGAAGTTTAAATGAGAATCATAAAATTAATAAAAATTAAAAACAAAACAAATTGAAGATTAAGCAGTTGACCTAGTATATAAAAATGTGAAACTCTCAAATTTACGTAAGTTGATTTGTTATTCGCAAGTGCCATGTAACAAAATCACATCACAAAAAGGAAAAAAGATGGCAGCATATTCTAAAATTTTTTGTTTCTAACATTCCTGGCAGTTTTTTCAAAGTAAACATTTTAACTATTTTAAAATAGCCATACATTGAAATATGTATATAAGGGAGGCGCTTATTGTTAACTCTTTGGAAAAATATGAATTGCGAAAATTTTTTAGCATAGGTGGGTTAAGATTTAAATATTACTATTGCTCAACAAACCATTATCGTAGAAAAAGCGTATTCCAAACTTAAACCTACAATTGAAAAAACTTAGAAAATTATTCGGTGTCAATTTGGTCACTGTGAGTATTTAAAAAACTCATTTTGTTATTTTACAACGCAAGCTTTGCATTTCGCGAAAATAATATACTCACTCTCATCTAAGCAAACTTAATTGAAAAATTAGATCCCAGGCTGCGTTTTTAAAAATATCTAATCCTGGATAACAAAATTTTAAAATGATGCCTGTTCAAGTCAGTAAATTCACTTACTTCACTTAAATAATAGTGGAAAAATATATTTTTTTTAAAACACGTACATAAGTACGTATGTATATGAAAATTTGAAATCGAAAATTTTGAAATAGAAACAATGTCGATGTACAATAATTTGTTTTACAATTGAAAAATTACAATTAGAATTTTCGTGATGGATAGCAAAAATAAATTCTTTGTTATCGCTTCGACAAGAAATTTCAGTTTTATCAACAACATATAAAGTAATCTTACATTACATCAAGTCCATCTTACACTACTCTTAAACTACATATGTCTTATCTATCTGATACTTTTAAAATAAATTAGAGATTTTCAGTACTCCTAAAAATTTATTTACCGCCATCCATAATTAAGACGTTTAAGTATTTGTTATCAACCATGTTGCTACCAAAAATAATATTTTATGTCAGCTTTAATAAATTTGATTTCCTGTGCTGTTTATCAAAATGTCAAAGTAAAATCAAATCCAAGTCAATCCGATTTTTGAAGAATAAATTTTTAGTATGCTCTCAGTAAGTAAACCTTATCAAATATGCATACTGTCATTTAGCACATACTCATTTTCAGAATTTTTATTTCTTTTTTTGTACCTTGTATTACTGTAGTAGTATTCGAAAAAAAAAATTTTTTTTATATGAACAAAATTCTTTATTCGATGATTAAGTTATTAAAGTTAATATTAATTTAATTACTTGCGTTGATTAAAAATTTGTCTCATACTTTTAGTAAGATAGATTTTTATTGGTTCAGATAACACAATTATAAATCTGCACATTACTACGATTTTGGTTAAGTAATTTGCAACAGTCCAAAGAAATGAAAAAAATATAAAAAATAGTACTATGAAATTTTATTCTTAAACTCTTTATTATATGATATTATATTTCTTGATTTGATTTTTTACTTTTTTTCTATATTTTTTTTTGCATATAATTGCATAAATTCAGAATGATAACATTTTATTTATTTTTTTAAATAAATTCCATAGAAAATTCTTTTTATTCTAAATTAAATAATATTAATACAAATTGTTTTTGAAGACTATTTAAAAATTTAAATAAAAAAAAAAATAGTTTTATTTCATTCTTAAAGTTAAATTTTATAACTAAAATAGACTATGGAAAACATAAATTTTTAATAATAATTATGCAAAAAGCAAATTTTAACAAAAAAATTATTAATTTTTTGTTACGTATTTATAAAAATATAAATATAAGCTGAGATTATACTTTAACACAAAATATCCTTAATTATTTTATTTTTTTTGCATATAACAATTTTTTTTTAATTTCGAATCTGTTTTATTTAAATACACTACATTAATACATAGTCCAATAATTTATTTAATATCCCTCTATAATAATAATGCTAGCTACAATATTTTGTTTTAATTTGCTTATTTTTTGGGTTTTGTTAAAACGTCGAAAAGCCAAAATCTAAATAAAATTAAAAAAAACATAATTTAAATTAGTAAAATGTCAATTATGTACGGCTTAATGTTACATAAATTTTAAAATTAATTTGTGCAAATATTAAAACACACGCTAGAAAGTGCATCTTAAAATTAAAATACAAAAACAAAACCTCCCAATCAAAAATCGAATTTCATAAATTTTATGAGACTCCGAAGTTATTTTAAATTATTTGAAGAAATACACATTAAAAATTTTATACTTAATTTGTAATTGAAAAGCTATTATATTTAGTCAAACTTAAGCCTTTGCTTGCTGTATGTGTAATTAAAAGTAAATGACTTAATCAATAATTGCTTTTTTATTTTTAATTTAGGTATTTACTGTGTAATTTTTATTTTAAACATAATATTATATATTAACGTCAAATTTAAATAGATTTAATAAGTATTACAAAGAAATTGTAATATTATCATTATAAATTTTTGTTTACTTTATTTATATAATGGACATGTACATACATTTTTTACTTGCTTTTAATGAAAAACTCATTTAAGATATATAAAATTATTTAAACCTATAAAATTTCAACAGTACTAACTGATGCTTAAATATAGATGTGGCTTAGTTTTTATATATTTTTTTATTAAACTTGATCATATCTAAAGGCAGTGACAAATTAAATATAATTTGAATTCACTTTGTTTTGAGAGCACTAAAATTCAGAAACCAAATTCCTAATGCACAAATATTATATATCGAAATATTTTTTTATAAATTGCATTCCATCCCAATTAATAACACAAACCAATAAAAAGTAAAAATGATCACATGTTAGTATAAAATTTTCAAAAATAAGTTTTTTTAAATTTAAAATTAAACAATTTTCTAGAAATGAAAGTTACAATTCTTTTAATTCAGAAAATAGCAGTTACTCAAATAAAAAAAAATATATTCATATTTTGTACGCAACTAAATCTAATGCAAATTCGATAAATTTATTTACATGAAGTAATACTTTTCAATAATTTTACAATTTATTTTATCAAAATAATTTAGTTATTGTGCGTAATGCATATAATATAAAAAATTTAAGAGTACATATATTTTTTTTGTTTGAAAAGAATTTAAAAGTACTACCAATACAATAATCAATTGATTAAAATAATCAATTGTTGTGAGTGTTTATTACCCATATGTCCGTATTGTTCTACTTTAGTTCTAGTACTATTGTAAAGTTAGTAATCATAACTACTGGCCATTATTTTCTTCATTTTGGTAATAATGAATTAATATTTTATTTTTTTTATATTGTTTAAAATAACTCATTTAACAAAATTTTTTTTATTAAGTATTGGATTAATAATGTTAGTTTATTATTAATTTCAAAATTATTTTTAAACACATATACATACATACAAATAGATTATATCTTAAATAATGTATAAAAATGATCACATGTTACTTTTTTTTGTGTTACGTATATACACCAATATGTACTTCTATATATATGTATATATAAATATATATGTACCATGATTTTATGCTATATAATACATACAAAATAATTTTGACATATTATGTAATTATATTATTTGGAAAATATTTTTATATTTAAGCAGTACTTGAATTATTTGCTGCTCCGCTAATAGCATTAAATAGAGCCACACTATTTCTGTGCGAATTTGCATTGTCTTCTAACGGAATCAAAGGTTCATCCAGAAGTTCACTTAAATCAGTACAAAGTTTTCGATAATTGTCTGCCAAAGCATTATGATATTCCTTTTGATCATTTGAAATCATTCTAGCATTTAATTGCAATGCAGTATTACACACACCAACAAAATCCCTAGAAAAAATAAAAAAAAAGTTATTTGTGGACCATTACAAAATATTACAACTTTTATTCTTTAAAAATGTAATATAATGAAATTTACCTAAATATATCCTTTAAATCTTCTACACAATCTTTTTTATAATTGGCAACTACTTTAGACTCTAAAAATGCTTGAGCGTAGGCTAACGGACCTGCATTAACCTGTACTGCAATACTACCTTGTAGTCTCAATTGTAATTTCTTTACATCAGCCGGTGGTAAGATTGTTTCTTCCAATTCGGAAACTTTTGTTTGCATTTCATCTATAGCAACTTCAATTGGACTAAGTTCAATTATTTCACGATCTTTTACTGCAATTCTCTTTAAACAATATGGAAATGAATACTCCGCTAAAATATATTTATGAATTTTAATTTTAATTTTGATTTATTTTAAAAATCAAATATTTTTCACAAACTTCTTATAATAGTTTTCCTCTTCCATTGATCTTGAACGTTTCCTCTTGCTTGACCAGATTTTGTGAATGGTGTCTCATACATAAATGTGTCAACATCATGATTTTGTTCAAATTCATTTTGTCGTATCTCTAATTCATCCTTACAATAATGTGGCAGAACATGTGTTACTTGAATATAAGCTACTTTAGGATCTAGTTCAATTGCTTCAACCTAAAAATACAAAACGAGAAAAATCATTATTTCAATTGAACCAAAAAAAAAGTTATAAATTCAAATATCAAAATAATTTACAACAAAAATGTTATTATGAAAGATTTTAATAAAAAAAATTATAGCGCCCCCGGGTGGGCTCGAACCACCAACCTTTCGGTTAACAGCCGAACGCGCTAGCCGATTGCGCCACGGAGGCCTTGAAATTAATCTCACAATACATTTATTTTACTCTATACTCCAAAAAGCTTTCACATCATTATTTTTAAAAAATCATTAAGAGCATTGACGAAACCAAACAAAATATTCCACAAACAATTCATAAAGCTTTTTTCAATTAAAAACTACATAAAGTAGAAATTAGAAACACATTCAAATAATAATAAAATTTGCGACATTAACTTGAGTGTAAAAGCTTAAAAACTTGTCTGAGAACGTTTTCAATGCTGTTCAGAATTACATTTTTAGAAGAATTACTATCAAGAACATTTTACAGAAAAATTGTTTGCATTTTATTAGAGTTTTAAGAATAAAAGTACTGAAAATATTTAAGATAAATTCATTAGATAGTTTATTATCGATTTCCAAAAAACATTTGAAATTTATTCCATTAAAAATATTTTTAATATTTTTATCCTTATGCGGAAATGAAAATGAAAATGAAAATTTTAAGATTTTAGTCAATTTCTACTTCGACTTCAAAATGTGAAACATAATTTGCTTCAAATATTGCAAAATAAAAAAAAAGGAAAAATTACTTTACAGAAAAATACGCTTAGAAAGCAAGTAAATTCTAAAATGCAATGTAATTTTACGTTATATGATTAATATTTAAACAACAAGAGTGAAAGACGCTTGTTTATATAAGTTAAGGACTAAAACTTATTTATAACATCAAATTTATACACCTGCAGGCAAAGCTAATTTTAAATATAATTTAATTTAACAATTTGTTCCTTTTAAAATAAAGTTACCGCTAGATTAAGAATATAAAAAACTTATTTAAAATTGAGCCTTTTCAACAATATATCGAATATATCGTAGTATAAAAATTAAAACTATTACACAATACACACAATGAATGGATAAATGAATAAATTTGGAAGCCTTAGAAAATATTTTTTTGTCGATAAAAAAAAAAGTAATAGCGCCCCCGGGTGGGCTCGAACCACCAACCTTTCGGTTAACAGCCGAACGCGCTAGCCGATTGCGCCACGGAGGCTTGAGCCTTTCTTTGCTCAACATCATATTTCAATAATACTCAAAAACTTACGATCCACAACATAATAACTTTTATGTCGTGGATTGTAACTTTTCTATGGATAAATAACTCACTCTTATTTTCATACATAATTTACAATTTTATACTCAAATTAAGATAGGATTCCATAATTTTTCAACGTAATTTCTACAATGTTTTAAGGATATGGGCTATTTAATTATCTATTCTATATTCCTACTACTTTAAAGCAAGGAACTGGAAATAGGTTGTAACACAAAATAGTGTCCACAAAATAATATTATTAAATTCAAAACTGAGTTGTTGCGCGTATATCTTAAAAATCTTAGCATGTAGTTGTAAAACAAACTGCAAAAATAGTACCGCATTAATCAACACACTTTTTTGACAGCACGCGTAGTCCTTTATTGTCAAACATAGGAAGCATTTAATACTAAGTTAGTAGACTAAAATTTTTTTAAACGGATATTTTTAAAACGTTGGTGTTTCGTCATTGATTTAAAAAAAAAAAGAGTTAACAGTTTAATTGTCTTCAAAAAAATCAAGATCAGAGAAAAAACTGAAGGAGGAATTAAAAAAATGGTTTAATGACAAAAAAAAAACAAAGCTGAAATTTGTTAGTAAATATCATGCACTAGCCCTGTGCTCCTTCCAGGAGTGAAGAAGGGAAAAAAAAAGCAATAAACTTGCAGTTTTAATTTTGTAAAAGAAAAAAAGCGCCCCCGGGTGGGCTCGAACCACCAACCTTTCGGTTAACAGCCGAACGCGCTAGCCGATTGCGCCACGGAGGCTATATATGTCGTTTATGTCAATATATTCTTTTCTACTTTTTCTAAATATTTCTTTGTGTTACCACTACGTGCGTAATGTGCGCATGCCTACAAAAAAAAAAAAAATAAAAACCATTAGGTACTCTTTTATTTACAACACAACTAAGAACAAATAAAAAACTAACAACTAATGACAAAAAACATGTATATAATGTTTATATGTAAAAATGTATAATAAATATAAACAACTCTATACAATTTTTTTAAGCCCCATTTTCCTCTATTGAACGAAATTGTTTTATGGGAGTTTAAAAAAAAAATCAAACTATCAAAACTCTATCTGGAACTTAGATAGAAAACCACATAATAAGTTAAATAAATTAATCAAATTACTTCAACTGTTATGCTTTTTTCAATTTCCCTAAACTAGTTTTTTTTGCAATTAAAATGATATAAAGAAATTAAAAATAAAAAAAAAATTATCAGTGAATTAAAGTCCATTTAGAAACTACTACTAATTATTTAAAGGCTTAAAAATTTTATTAAGATTATTAGAAAGAATTTTAGTAAAAAAGTTGGAGCAAGCAGAAATTTCGGGGAAGTGCGTTATAATCTCGGAATATCTCCCATATTTTACCCATTTTTGATGCCCCAAACAATGGTTAAGGCCGGAATTACTAAATCGCAATGTATATTGATAACAAATATTTAAATGAAAGGAATTTTTTTACAAAGTCAATTTTTTAAATGTGTAAATGTGTGATTCCAAATATTTCTTTAAATGGTTATTAGCGAACTCTTTAAAGTTTAATAGCTAATATAAATTATATTTCGCGCAGAACATATTATAAAAATAAAATAAAAAATTTAATTTTCTATTTTATTTAAAAATTTATTTATTGTATTTTATTATTTTTAATAATAATTAAAAATAAAAAAAAAACTGGGCTCAACCGGGATTTGAACCCGGGACCTCTCGCACCCAAAGCGAGAATCATACCCCTAGACCATTGAGCCTCTTGCACGAATAATTATTTTTTCACTTCTTCAACTTGTTTATGTTATTTATTAGCTGATTACATATTTTCTTTTCAAGTCATATTTTCCACACATTTTCAAAACAAAATTTCAAATTTATTTAATGAATACAAATATTTAAAAATTTTCTTTTCTCCTTTTTTCTCAAAACATCCTTGAATTTCTCATTTTCAAAAACATAGTAGCGGTGACACTAGAAAAAAAGAAATGCACAATTACGCTATGTATGCATAGCTGATTGCATATCTATAATATTTAATTTTTCCTTTTAGTGATAAAGAACTGCCATGTATGTAAAGGCAAAATTCTCACGGAATTCCGGGAAAATTTTGAGCCGGAATATTATGTTACATAATTTGTTTTTTAGGAAATATTTAATATACCTTATGTGTAATATAGAATATAAACGTGTAAAAAAATTATATATGTCTATTTAGGAATTTTAAAATGAAATTAATAACATGAAGATATTATGGAGACATAAAACAAACTAAAATGAGTCTCTTCACGACACTAAAATAAAAAAGTAATCCAAATAAAATTATTACAATATTTTTCATAAATAATAAGCCTCGATGCAGGTTTAAACTAAAACGATTAAAAGATTATTGATTTTTTTTTTGACAACGTTAAAGTATATGTATTTATATGTATGTTAAAATTAGTACAAATTGTCAAAAAAGTAAATAATAATTAAAAGTAAATAATAATGGAAAAAAGACGCTCACGGGACAGAGCTTTTTTTTTTACTTAGATAACCAAATAGTCTCGCCTATTATACATGCGTAGGTATGTACATAAGATTATCACATAGTACTAAAATTATTTTCCAACAAAGTAAAATAATTCGACAAAAATGTTTTGATACGTTATCACTAGGCAGAAAAAATGATAAAACGCAACGAGAAAACCGAGGCTACTTTTTGTATACATTTCAATGACAAATTGCCAGAATCAATTAATTAATAGAGATCGAACAAATTTTTAACAACCAAATATACTTCTTCGCATTTTTTAGTAGAAATACCATAAAAACGCTTTTAAGAAATACCATTTTGTTTTAAATTCTGGCAATTCTGGTTATTCCTTTGTTAATTGATTTAAATATTAAAATTTTAGTAGAAATAAAAAGTAGATTGATGAGCGCAAACTTTTATTAATTACCATAACGATCAAAAATCAGGAAAATTCAATACCATTATGATAATGTATTGAAAGCTACTCAAAGGTATCAACAACTGCATGATTTTTTTTTACTATGAAGATTATTAAGAGCTTTGATCATCAACTGTATCAAAACTGCTTTTAAACTTATTTGACAGCATATTTTATATCACGGTATGTATGTATTATGTGTATGCATTAAATAGATAGAAGGTCGATAGAATAAATACATTCTATTCAAATATAACATTGATCAAAATATTGGTAGAGGCTCAGTGGTCTAGGGGTATGATTCTCGCTTTGGGTGCGAGAGGTCCCGGGTTCAAATCCCGGCTGAGCCCAGTTTGTTTTTTTTATCTTTTTCATAAAAAATGTTTATTTCATTTTTTTTTTTTGCTTTTTATGTAAATTTGTGAATAAATTTTATTCGTTATACAGGAGAACCAATAAGAAATTATATAGACTTAATATAGGAAACGATATTACATTATATAAAATTATACAAGATTATACAGAAAACTAGTATTGTGAAATCATTTTTTTCGATTTATTTTTAATGAAACCCTCTATAAATATTATTTCTTAATATGTAATTGTAAACACAAACAAACTTTGTGAATTTTATCCTCTTTTGGTTTTTCTATTAGAAAATATTTTTTATTTTTGAAAGACAAGATGTTTTTTTAAATGCTGGTGAAAGTTTAATTTCACTAAAAAGAATAATTTAATTCAACGAACTTGATAACATAATAAATATTTTATATACTTTTGTTTATTTCATTTTTTTTCAGTAAAAAAAAAAAAAACACGCCCCCGGGTGGGCTCGAACCACCAACCTTTCGGTTAACAGCCGAACGCGCTAGCCGATTGCGCCACGGAGGCACATCCACAATATAACCCAAAATTATTTTTCAAACAATTCTCCAATTTTTCTACCACTCTCGATATTTTTTTTATCTTATTGACTTTGCAAAATAAAAAAAAACACCAAATTTCATACAATATCATTCAGATGGATCTGCATTTTCTTTGAAAAATATTTCATTATTGCCTGAATTTTCACTTCACAAGGTAATTTTATAAAATTTTCCTAGTATACATAATATGTATGATAACTGTTTGAGTAATATATAAGAGCAGAGTGGCGCAGTGGAAGCGTGCTGGGCCCATAACCCAGAGGTCCGTGGATCGAAACCACGCTCTGCTATGTTTTTTTTCAATACTTTTTTTTATCTATACAAATTACTTACTGGAGATGAGTCCATAATCATTTTTACAACATCAGCACCAAATTTATCTTTATACTGACGTTGAAGTCTTTCTGATATTTCGCTTAGAGATGTCAATTTTGGTTCTTTATAAACATATTCAATACCATGATCATCATCAAAGTACATCTAAAAAAAATTATTTGCTTCGTTTTACAATTTTCTCTTTTTTTAGTTTCAAAACTTTTAATATTAATTTACCTGGCCATAGAACACGACCCTGTAAAATCTTCCTAAGAGTCTCTTTCCAGTTCGATTAACTTCAATGATCTTGTTATAAGCTTGCATTAAATGCTCGTAACTGTGTGCTAAACTTAAATAGTCTCGACGTTTTTCATATATCGGAACAATAAGCCTATACAAAGGTCCAAGGCATTCAAAACGTTCAGCTCTGTCTAAATATATTGCACAATCTTTTAGTTGGTCCAATAAAATTTGGCTATTATACTGGGAGTCTTGAGAACCTGAATCAAGTTTTAAACCTTTCTCGTCACGTGGAATGTTTTTAGATATGCATTGAAAAGCCTCAGCTCCCCAGTTAATGCAATCGTCACCTTTTAATTTCAAATATTCCGCCATTAGAGCAGCAATATGTAAATAACAGCAGGCTGCCTCTGATAAATTGCCATTATGTTCATGATTTCTTGCCATGGTTATGAGCCACGTATGCCGTAACTCAGGAGTTGTGGCATATGAATTCGCTAAAGAATGTTGCAGTTCAAGTAAACGCTCTGGATCCATATGGTGTGCTTGCATTTGAGCAGTGGCCATCAGTACCGTTCGAACACGCCTTGTTAAATCCTTGACTTCCACAGGAAAAGCGGTTCCTTTCATAACTTTGTCACTTGTAGCATAACTATTTATTAGGGACAGTGATTCTTGAAATCTGGCGTTATTCAATCCAATCACATTACCAATCATTTGTGAAACTGATATAATTACTTGTAAATGAACTCGAGTGCATGATCTACGACCACTAAATTCAAAATTTGACCTCATCAACAGGTAAAGGACGGCACACGATTCATGTCTTATTGTAACTAAACGACTATCACAGGCTTTTAACAATTCATACACAATTTGCCGACATAAATTCGCACTTCCTTTAAACAATGCTGGTGAAAAGTTATTAATAAAAGCTCGAAGAGACGCAAATACATGTTTCGATAAAAATTCTGATTGACCTAATTGTAAGTAACGTAAATAAACTTTTGCTAATTTTGGTAAGCTATGGCTTTCAATTAATTTCTCTCGAAATTGTATACAATATAATCCCATACAATCTAAAATAATCATCCCAACTTCTGTAGCTAAATTTGATTCGTACAAAGCTTGGTGATGCCGAGCAGTTTCTTCAAGAAGATTTTCCCGATTTGTCAAATTTAAAGTTCCTGTTTCTAAACCGGAAAGACAGCTTTCACTAGCCGGAGATGCTATACGAGCCGGTAACGTACTTGCCTTGGCTGCTCTGGACCTCTGAAAATCTTTTCCGTCATTTAAAATGATATTCTTGCGGCCAACATAACGAAAGTTAATTAAACATGAATCAAGTATAGTAAGAAATGCTATTATCTCATTTTCAGTACAATTTTCCCACCACGCAATCATATGATCTTGTGAGAGATGTTTAACAACAAATAAAAAGCACGTTAAGAGATCTTTTGTTTCATTTAAAGAAAATTTGTCGCAACGAGGCATTTGAATTGCTTGCGTAACACTGACAGACCTAAAAGAATTTGCAGTAAAGTAAAATGAAATTTTAAAAAATTTTAATCAAAATACCTTGTATGTCCCACACTTCCATTACGCATTTGAACTTCTGCTGGCGGCGATTCGTTATTTAATGTGTGTGTATCTTGCGAGTTATCGGAAATTTGAGAGCATAATGATTGTGTTGACCTTTCTATATTATTCATAACGGCTTGTCCAGCGATAGCAGCCAGGTAATTAGAATCCTTCAAATGCATTGATGCCCTTATTGGACTAGGATGATCAAAATGTAATGTTAATCTGCTTTTTGTTTTTGGAGTACTTCCAACTGAATTTATTGCAGAATAATCTTTGGCAGATAAAACAAAGCTACTGCTACATGACATTCGATTACTCATTGACACTGAATCGTATCCATTAGCAAAAACTGGACTTTTAACCTCAGAATCTGTGCACAATCTTTGCAAATTCTCCATAATTATACTTAAAAGTGGTATGTATAGCAAAGCAATTCGTGATAATTGTCCTCTATTTTGATATCGATCATCTAACTCGTGCTTAGCCAGAAAATCTTTTAAAATATTTAATGCATAACGCCTAACACATCCGATTTCATTGAGACTACTTTTAATTTCTTGTAATAGTAAACCAGCTAAAAAGTGTTGTCTACAAAATTCTTCTGATAGAGTAAAATGTGATATCAATTCTGATGATCGATTTTTGGCAATTAAAAGAAAAGGTAAATTGAGCGGTACATAATGTTCGTGTTGGCATAATTCTTGTAAAAAATTAAATTTGAATTCTTGAAGTATTCTGGGGTCCCCCGGTGAAAAACGTTCCATGTAAAATCTAATTAGTTTAAAAATGAAACCGCGATCCATGTACGATAAGCACCGTTTAATAAATTGTGAAAGAGATTTGTTTAATTGTTGAGTTTCAATTGGCAAATCTTTGTAACGCTGAATAATATATGGAACCAATATTCTCAGAAGAGATTCAATTCGTTGGTGATATTCCTTTGGGAATCTTTCATTTCTTAACATTCGAATACGACCTGAATCCAACAAATGCTGAGCCATACTTTTAATTATAATATCAAAAAATATATTCGAATATTTCATAAATTTATTAACAATAAGAAAATCAGTATTATTTGGATGTAAGATATCTGGTAAATGACGGCATAATTCTTCATGAACTGTAATTGGACGACTATTATCTCTTTTTATATAAAAATTGGGCGTGTAGAAAACGTATTTAACGTAAGAAAATAGAAGTTCCTTCCTTCCAGCTTCTTCAATAATCATATGAATTATATTAATTAACAAACGAATGATATTTAATCCTATTTCTTCATTAGTTGTATTAACTAATAGGGTAAAAAGTTGATTTAATATCGTCGGTAAAAAAGCTATTAAAGATGATATTTGTATTGCATGAGCTGCTTTTAAAATTTTACATGTTTCTGATATTGCTGGAATCGCGTGCATTTTTGATTGTTCCATTAAACGTTCTACATGGGCAAACAAATTGTGTAAATGTTGATCTGATGTCAACACTGTCGAATCCAATCGAAAAGCAACAGTAAAAAGTTGACGCTGATTGTCAATCCACTGAATTTCTGGTCCACAATTCTGCTAAAAAATTGTAAAAAGTTTTGTAACGTGTAGAGGCAAATAATAAGCAGCCAATGGGCCAAAAAAATTTTTAGGAGGATGATTTGTCAGTGCGAATGGCAAATGTACAAAACAAACAGATGAAAAAAATACAAAATGAGTGTTAGTTTTATTTAAATGACTAAAATGTAAAATGTTGCTATTTTTTATTATACTAATTCTAAACACAATTGTGTACGTAATAATAGGTATTTATATGTATGCATGTATTTATACAAAAAAATGGAACTATTGGAGTTATGATACTTCAATATTTCAAAATGGTATTTACAAAAATTATACCGACATTTAGGAAAATTAAGAGCATTTCTTACCCCTTTTCCTAATCCTAGAGGCTGAATAGCTAAATAACCAACTGGAAGTGAAGCAGCGACCGGAATAATTTGTTCCTCAAGATTGATTTTTCCTTTATTTAATAATGGTAGCCATGAATAACCAATAGGTGTCTCGAAGGCAGCATAAGCATCACGTTTTTTGGAAAGATTGCAGGAAACATGAAGAAATGAAAATAATATATGATGCTGTGGTGTTATATGAAGGGGAAGCCGCATTTTTATTTCCTCATACCATGTTGGATTCGCATTATGATGTATGACAGGGCATGAAATTTTATCAACAAAGAGATTTTGTCCGGGTCGACCATATATACACTGAAATAAAAATATAATTTATATATCAAAAAAATTCATTGGCGCTTTCAAAAGCTATAAAAAGCCACCTTTAATGGTACTGAATTTTCATCATCACTATCTCTTAGTTCTATTACAACAGTTATATTTCGTGCCCTTGAAAACAATTTTTGACTATCAAACAATAAGGAAATCGGATAAACATATAAGTGGTTAACAAATGTTGTAAAAGGGTGAATATCTCTTTCATAAGTGCCCAAAAATTCTGATATTTCAATTGTTGGATCTCGCTGTGGTGGTAACGGAAATGGCTTAAGTGGTGCTAGGGTTGATGTTAAGCAATCTAAAATGAAATAATTTACTTAATTAGCCAAAAAAATTTCCAATATTTTCATCTCTTACTATTTGGCAGTTCATTTAAAATTTCAATACTAATTTTAAGACATCCAGGTATCACAGTTAATTTACTAAATTTATCCGGTTTTCTATATTCAGAAAGTAATTTTAAGAGTTCCTCATCTTTAAGTTTATTGCCTTCTTGTCGGTAAATTGCTGGAAATTCTTCTGTCATATCTAAATCGCTGCTATATAATCGAAATAAGGGGCGAGCTGCCCATGCAAATGGCATACGGTAATTTCCAATTTTTTGGCTATAATTTCTTACAATTCTATTCAATTTTGCTCCTAATTTTGGATCCTTTCCAGCTTTTATATAAGGTTCTGTTGTTTGATTAATACCGCCTTGTAAAATTTTTTCAATTTTAACTACTAAAAATATATCGGGATGAGGTAAAGTTACACTAAGTATAGCATTTTTCGGAAATGATAACCAATCGTTTGGAAGTTTTTTCAAATCATTGGATGGGCTATTGTCTAAATGATTTTCTTCATTAATAGAACCATTGATTTCACTTTTTCGATGACCATTCGACATTGTACGTTGTGGTAGCATATCTAGTACTTCGTTGTTATTCAAATCGAAATAAAAATTTTCTGTTAATTTTTTGCCAGCTTTGACATCATACAATGCTAAACTAGTTATATATGGTTCAACTTGGGTAAAAATTTCTTCATCATCCTCGTAAATGGGATTTTGTAAACGAAATTTTAAACTTTTACATTTAATTAAAATTCTCTGTCCGAATTGTTCTCGGTACTGATCAATATGATCTGATATAGTAGCTTTTGTATGAGTTTGGCAATTAGCAAATAATCGACGACGATGTTCACGGCGTGCTTGAGCTATTGAAATGTCAGTCTCACGGCCATACTTTATCAACTGAGGATTCATACTTTGTTCTAAACCTTTTAAAGTTCCAAAAACCATTGTATTATTAGGACTTGGATGTGGAGGCGGAGAAGGAGCTGAATTTAAAAAATAAAATTAATTTACAATCGTATTCTTTAAGCATTTTTTTATTTTTTCAAGTCTTAGAGAAAGTTTAAAAAGTATTTGTAAAAAAAAAATTAAATGTGACTATATTTACTACGTACTTTTTTTGACTATATTGAAAAATGAAAATAAATTACAAATGATTTTAATTAATAATGTAAATCATTTTTAGTTACAAAATTGTAAGTTGATGGTTATTGAAATTTAGCAGAATGAGTGTGAAAACGTTTAGTTCACAAAATTAGATTCAAAATAAAGTTTCTAAAAGAATATTTTATGCCTAAAGAGCATAAAAATTTAGTTTTCTAAATTACAAAAACAATAATATTCGTTTTAGTTTTCTACACATACATGTTTTTATTTATATCACACTCATAAATACGAGTATAAAATATTTCATCACCTCTTTCCAGTGTTGCAACTCGTTTCTCTTCTTGAATTTTATTTTGCTGTAATACTGATAATAATTTACCAATCCAATCCTTAAAGTCATCTTCATTTTCTGCTGCCAATGTAAACGATTTATGACCAGCTGTCATTCTTAATTCAAAACAAAATTTACCACGTTTTGGATTCTAAAAATGTAAAAAAAAATAAAATAAAATACAAAAATATATGAGAAAATGTGCAATAAGGAATAACAAATTTATATAGCATATTAGATACATATATAGTTAAAATATGTATAGAAAAATTCACTGAATTAATGAAAGAGAAAAAAACACAACATAACTAACCATTTTCAATTGAATTGAATTTAAAACGAAATTATTAATCTTACTTGAACAACTTCAGTACAAAAATCCATTACAATTGTTGCTTTTGCTTCCCCTTGTTTTTCATCTTTATGCAATTCTAAAATGTAAGTGCCATCAACTTCTTGTCTTAGATAGCAATATCTGATGAAAACAAAAAACGATAACGTAGAGCATAAGACCATGTTTTTTTAAATAAAAATTTATTAAAATAAATTATTTTTATATTATCAATTCTCAATATCTTTAGTTTAAATTTAGTGAAACGTTAATTTATATGACAAATAAAAGTATCTCTAACCTTCTTTTAAATGATTTTGATCCTATATGAGCAAACATTCGATCTGAATTTGTTTCTGGTCCTTTTAATAGATATCCCTGTTTAGTAATGGTATCAGCTTGAGATCTTGTCATTTCTTCATCGATTTGTCCTTGATCAACATCAATTTCATAAACCTGTTCTTTTAGTTCTTCACCTGGTGATAACCTAAAAACATATACAGAAAAAAATAATTGAATTTTATTTATACTTCAAATAAATTAGTAAAATTTCTACACTAAATATAAATAAGATATAAGATATAATTCATTTCTATTTTAAGTTTAATTTTGGAAATATTTTGAATGAAAAGAACGTAAGACTGCTTTGATTTTGGGCAAATGAAATTTTAGAATTAAATATAAATTTAAAAAGTTTATTATAAAAATAATCATAAAATTTACTCTTTACTTAAATATGCTACTTCTACTTGTGAGAAAGAAAGATTTATAATACATAAAATTCATATCCTTAATTTTTACCGACCGTATTGTGTATACAATAGGTAGGTTATGTGACGGCAACAAATTTTGCATATCGAGTTTTCGGTGGGAACGCACTTCTCCATGGTAGGGAAGTGTAAATAAACTAATTTTAGCAACCTGTCGGTCTGACGGTCTGTGTATGCGCGCGTGTATCTCAGCTCGGCTGAACCGATTTTGATGAAATTTTTTATGTAAGTTTATTTCGACCATGGCACGGACCAACTTTTGGGATATATCAGGACTGGAGAACTGCACTTTTTAGCGGGCCTGTTTTACATTTTTGACCATTTTCAAATAAATATACAACCGATTTACTTGAAATTTCATATATAAGCTCAGCTCAACCGTCCGCGAAACCTCCTATCTTTTGAAAAAAATCAGGCGTCAGCAACTGCACGTTTACTACAGGCCAAATATACATTTTTGCGTATATAAAACGAAATAATCAACCGATTTCATTGAAATTATTTAAATTCTTTGTATTAAAACAATGAACATATAACATAAAATTTTTTGGAAAGATCAGGGCTCGAAAACTGATCTACGGAACGAATTGATGTAATTTCTTGAAATTTGATATTTCAATTCTGGTTGTTATAGAAACTAACTGGTAAGCATTTCAGGGTATTCGGGCAGCACAAAGCGAAACTCTACTAAGAGCCAAAGTTTCATTTTTCTAGGTATGTTAACTATAAGATGCTATAAGCTTACTAATGCCCTTAAAATTGGAAAGAAGTATTTAAGAGATATTTTTATAATATTCTGTAACACTTTCACTTAACTAGACAATACACATTGCGGTTGGTTATGTGCTGATCACATCAGATTTTTTTTAAATGCTTTCATAATTTACTTTAAATAAGTGCAGTATTTTAAAAAGAAATACAGTTTAACGTTAAAAATCCTTAACGTTAATCAGTAGAATTACTAAAATTTGCTTATAACGACTTTTTAACCCCTTACTACAGCTTCATAGGGTATGGCTTTTGTTTTGTGTACATTAAATACACATTATATATTTTTGTATATACTTACATTGTAAATACATTGTATATACATTCTTCAATAGCATTTTATTCTGGTAGTTTTATTTATACCTTCAAAAAAATGTTAGTAAGAAACCTTAAATATATGTTTAAATTTTTGCTCAAAACAATAACAACTCCTTCTATTTGAACTTTTCTATTGGTTTTGTCATTTTTTAATATCATCAATTCATATGCTATTTACATTTTCTGTACTATTATTCTACGTATATTATAAGTTATACTATGTTTCTACGTATTACATAACTAAATATTTTATAATATGGTTGTAATGCATTATAACAGAAAAGAAGAAAAACTCTACTCACCTAGGAAGATCATGGACAGATCCACTATATGATTTGTATTTATAATGAATCAAATGATTATTTGTTTGGTACGTAAATAATGATTGCCTCGTTAATAAAGTACCAGATGTATTTAGAATTGCAGACTTGCCACATGTTGATCCGTTTGATGATGAAGATTTCGTTGACTTTGATGATTTTGTTGTTTCACTATCATCATTGGATTTTTGTGAATTTGTAGGTGATGATGGTTGACGTATATTACTGTCACCATTACTAAATGGACTTCCGTTTGATTTTTTATCTGAATTAATTGAAAACTGATGATGTGTTACTGTTGTTTTAGTTATTGTTAAATTTATTTGCGGGATTGTACTAGAAACTGTACGAAATTTGCGAGGTAATACCACTTCCTAAAAATGAAAAAAAAAAAATAGAAAAATTAATAAAATAACTTTGATTTTTTAAAAATTACCCTAATTTTTTACTCTAGCAATGTAAGTAATGATTGTTTTGTAAATTTATCAATTCCGAAATAGTCGTAATAATGTATTAAAAATTTTTGGACTTTGAAACGCAATGAATTTTGGAAAACGGATGAGATGTGGAAAAAATATATATATATGATAAACATTATGAGTAAAGTAATCCTTGAATTATTATCACAAGCTTTCAAGTAGATGGGTTGAAACAACTGAGAAAAAACATATAAAAAGACCTTGTTCTAAAAGAAAATTCGTTAATTGTGAAGTTCCAAAATGTCAATTTCGTCATTTTGAGTAAAGTTGAAATTTATTAAGCAAACAAATGATACACAGATCGTTTGACCAATAGATGATCTGATAAAATGAAACTAATAAGCTTTATTTTTTTAAATTTTGTGAGAGATGTGTCAAAAACTGAAAATACAAAAATTTGGTAATGAAATCGAATGAGAACGAGTACAGATATATTTTTAAAAATTTCCGCAGCTATCACAATCTCCTTTCTTCTCTCAATTAGCAATATAATTTTACATCACTTGACACAAAAAAAAAAATCTGTTGTTTGACTATTAAATATACCATAAAGTTTATGAGATTTATTAGAAACAAAATGTAAATATAAATATATTTTATATTTTATACCCTACATCAAAAATATTTGGACTATGATTCATACAGCTTGTAATTCTTTGAGGAAAACACCTATCTAAGAACAATCAGAATAATAAATGCATTGAAAACTATAAAGAAAAATTCATTGAGTCCCAACTTCTACTTTTGCGATAATAAAAGACTTGAATTTTTATTTTGCGTTCTAAGTTTTTTAAAAACTTGTGTGAAATTACAAGCAGTAATGAAAAATATTTCTAAAGATTAATTTTAAATATTTTAATGAAAGATATTTAATAACATATTATTTGCAATTTTACTAAGCATAACCATTTTCTTATATAATTAAAATGATAGGAATTGTTCAAATGGTGTTGAAATTTAGTTGTATAATATCTAAAAAGATTTTTGGATGACGGCGTAGGGTGTAAATGGGTTCATCAAGAAACGCTTATATTATTTCAGTCTTTCTTTAATTTCACTGTGAAAAACAACCACACAAATAAACTAAATTATAATATTATTTTTTTATTGTCGTTGTATGTTTTTTATGTATGTACGTATATTAAATTTAGCGTGGGTTCCATCTAAAACTTGTATATGTAAATATTAAAGTTAAATATTATTGGAAAAAGCTTTATATGTGCGACTAATATTGAAAATATTTAACACTCTGTTCACTTTATTTTAAGCTTCAATGAAAAAATCCATTTAGGTATCTGTTTTTTTTTTTGTATGATGTTAGTGAAACTGATGTTCTCTTGTTGAATTGTTAAAATTCCAATCTCTCACCTGTTCATTTTTCGTATTATTTTTTTCTTTTATACTATCTAATTTGAATAGTATTAGTTATAGGTAGTTTTAGTGAAAAAATGATTTCATACAAAATTCTTATTTACATTTTTTTAATATGAATGAAAATTGAATATAAATGAAGTTTTTATTTGATATTTTTGTATTATTTTTTATTCAATTAAGGTTTTTTTTAACTTAAAGTATTTCAATAGAGTGAAAACTAGTAGAAATTAAATTAAAAGCTCTTTTCTGAATTTCTTTGTCAATTTAAACTAGGACATTTGAAAAAAAAAAATTCACAATAAACTATTTAAGTTCGCCAAATATACATACTTATATAAACTTAAATCTTTGTCATGAACAAATAGAAATTTTCAAAATTTTTTAGAAAAATTATTTGAAACTCATGTAAATTAAAATTTATATTATTAAATACACTATTGAATAAGTTTTCTTGTTTAAATTTTCATTTCAAGAAACAATTCATGTGGTCAGAATTGCAAACTTTTTGACTTTTGGCAGTACTTTAACATGTTATTAACATGTTTGTGGTCACTATTTTAAATTTTCTGACTTGATGTAGTACTATGATTTTGAAAAAAAATTTCATTTTGAAATACTCAAATTGAATTCGATACCTTAATTATTTAAAAATATTAAATTATTAATTTTAAAATTGCTACAAATTACCATAAAAAAAGTAATTACCTCGAAATTTGATTTTGCATATTAGGCATTTAGTTGAAACAAAGTTGCAAGTCTGACCACTATTTGCAACAATTTTACAACGGCTACTTAATTTAGCAAATTAACTGTCAATCTGCAAAGTTGTTGGTACATTATTAATTCATAACAATATTTTCTTTAATTAACAAATTAAATTTTTCAAAATAATGTACGTATCAGGTATCGATTCGAAACCTATTAATTTTTTGATTCACACATTTTACTAAAGATCAACTATTGTATGAGACAGCCCAAAGAGAACTTTGTTGGTAATTAGCAAACATTTTTGTTTTATTTTATAATTCGCAATCTCAAATTAGATTCAACGTTTTCCATCTAAAAAATATTTATTCAATTCATTTTATTATTGAAACTTTATAAATTTAGAAACCTAATTTTTGGTTATTATTCATATTGAAATTGAATTTTTATTACTTGATTTTTTTAAGAAGAGTAGAATGAGAAAAAATTTGCATAATAAAACTTTAGAGAGCAAGAAAAACATGTTTTCTTGCAAATACAAAAATTTTTATGTTCTTTTATAATAAATGTAAAATTCTTATTCTTATTTAAAATTAAAATATTTTTGTTACGAAATGAAACATTTATTTTAAGCAAAATTTATAAGGAATAGAAATAATTGTCAAAAAAATCAACCCAGAGCTTAAATTTCATTTAGAAATTTTTTCGTTTTAAAATTTCCTTTCTAATTTATTATTTAATTCCTTTGTGAGCAAAAGAAATTATTTTACACTCATAATAAATATTTTCTGCTTAATTTAAAATTTTTATTTTGCGTTAAAAAGCATAATTAAATTGGAATATAAGTAACAAAATATCCTTTTTCACTTTATAATTAAAAATGGTACGTTAATAGGAACATTTTTTATGTATTTAGGCATACATATATAAATTCTTAAAAGTGTTATATTTATTAAGTACAATTAAACAAAATTTTACCCTAATTGTAATAAATATTATAATGAAACACAACTGAACTCCATAATATAAGCAAAAGCAACAAGTATAAACTTCGTCACATATAAAACATGAAAAAAAATCCTTCAAAACGATTATGTCATTTTTTTCTCCCTATACAATAATTGTATAACAGTATGAATTTAATATTTTCTTTTCTCTTTTACTCTACCATCTTTTTCTCTATACAATATTTTAACTACTATTATTGCTACTATATTATATATGTATTTTTGTTTATATTACCCGCCTTATTTAATAAAATTTGTATATTATATAGGTGAATAAATAAATTCAATTTATACATACACAAACATAAATATATTGTGTAAAAAAAAATTTAATTTATAATAATGAAAATATCTAAAATAACGTCACTTTTAGTTCACTTTGAAGTTTCTCCTAAATCAGTCAAGTCATACAAAACTTGTCATACACCATCAGAAAACTATTTCGAATTTTTGATTTCTTTTTATTTTGTTTGTTATTATTATTAATACTATTTAAAATTCAAAATTTTATTGATAGTTAATCATATTGTAAGTTCGTAATTGTATTTTTTAATTTGTCAAAAAAATAAATAAACATAAACAGGCGTATCACAGTTTCAAATTCATTAATAAATTAATAGTTATTTGCTTCTTTAATAATCGATTAGTTTCAGTCTCCCTCTCTTATTTTCCACCTTTGCATTAAATTTATTTATTAATTGAGAAGAGAAGTTTTTTAAGATCATCTCTTAATGTTTAATATAAAAACTATTATTAAAATAATTTTACCGTATAACAACGTGAGGGACGAACGGAATTTTTATATTTAAGAAAACAGTGATAATTATTAAAGAATAATAAAATTTTAGTTGATCTCAGTCAGGCAGAGGTGCTTATTAAATTTTGTTTACATAAAAAATATACTCAAATTTTTTTCTTAAAAATATTTCAGTGTATTAATTTAATCATAGTTCACAACAATTCAATAAAAAAATATAATAATTAAAAATCAAAAACAAAAAATTACAATTTATAATTTTCAAATAAGAAAATTAAAGAAAAAATGGCAATAAATGTTCCATTAACAAATTATAGTGGAGAAAAACTTTCCCGCCATGAATTATTAAATTGGGTAAATGATACATTGTCAGCAAATTATAAAAAAATTGAAGAATTGTGTTCTGGTAAAATTTTAAAAAATAATGTTGAAAAACAAATGCTTAACATCTTTCTTAAATTTTGACAAATTTTAGGAATAGCATATTGTCAATTAATGGAAAAAATATTTCCTGGTTCAGTAGCTATGAAAAAATTAAAAGTAAATGCCAAAATGGATCATGAATATATCTGGAATTTAAAATTATTTCAATCAGCATTTACAAAGCTTGAATGTGATAAGGTAGAAACAAAAATCATAATTTATTGTTATTAAGTGTTTTGTAATTTAAATCTTGTATTATGATATCATAAAATATTTTATTTTTTAATTTTTGTTTACTTGATTTTTTTTTACGAATTACCACATCAATTCTCAAGACTGTACCAATAAATCAATTGATGAAAGGGAAATTTCAAGATAATTTTGAATTTTTATTATGGTTTAAAAGATTTTATGAAGTTAATGGTGGTTTAGATGTTGATTCATCAAAAAACAAGGAAACTAATAATAATAATATTGTAAAAACTTCAACAAGAAAATCATTATCGACAAATCTTACAACTACTGGTAAGCTAGACCTTGAATATTAAATAAAGCCAACTATGCATTTATTTTTCATCAGTATCATTAATTTTTCGATATTAATATTTACATATTACTTTCATACACGTAATACATATATGATATTTGTATGTATAGGTATATATATATATGTAATTTCATTGCTTATTTTTTGAATTTCTTATAACAAAAAAAAAATAACTCTAAAGGTATTACAAGTTTTAACCTACACAAAAAATTGATTTGATTATTTTAAGCGAAGTATACAAAAGAATGTGATTTGCACTTACATACATACGTACATACATTTTCTTAGATACAGTGTAATTTGAACGTATTTGCACATCACATTATATATTTTAGCAAATTAATGACAACTTTACTTTATTTTTTGCTATTTATAGATAAAACAAGTCAAAATTCCTCATCAAAAAGTAGTTATAAAGGTACACCATCGCCACATGCACAATCACCAAGATCACAATCACCAAACAAAGATGGTTCACAATCACCATCGGCTCTTAAAATATTAAATACAGAAAGAGATACTCTAAAACTTCATGTGAGTATAATAATATCAAAATATAAATATGGAATGTATTTATTTTTATTAAATATATTTTTACTTTTAGTATGAAACTGTCGAAAAAGAGAAATTATTTTACTTTGACCGATTACGGAAAGTAGAAATTTTGTGAGTATATAACAGTAATTATTATCAATACAATAATATAGCTATACGAGTACATATTAGAATTTCGAATATAGGTACGTCATAATAAATTCTGGAATACCTTTAAATTTGCTGATCAGTTCAGATCTATTTTCTTCCATAAATTTACACTGTGCAACAATTTATATTAGTATAGTATTTATGTTAATCTCATAAAAAAAATATTTTATTTTCTTCATAAAAATATTGTTCAATTTTTAGTTCATTTTCCAAAAAAAACTCACAATTTTGTATACAATTACGTATTTCGAAAAATAAATTTACTTATATACGAATTATAATCTTCAAAATAACAAAAATATTAGCGAATTTCTGACTGAGTAATTGACAAAAATGTCAATTCGAAATTCATTTTTCTTGAGACAACATATAATATGAAAGTCTACATTAAAAATTATTCGTCAACTATTTATTGAGTTATTTCTATTAATCAATTTCAGGTCGTATTGTGAATTGCTTTAAAGAGCATTAAATTTACAATAAACAAAAACAATAAATTTACAATAAACAAATTTATTTATTTTACATGCAAATACATAATAAGCGTTCTAGTAATTTGGTATACATTATACGTTACTGCACATGCAATATCAATATATTTAAATCTTCAAAACAGAAATGTTTATACGTTCTATACGGAATGTTCGACTTCGAACGGCATATCTCAATTTTGGTTAAATCACATAGAAAATATGTTTTCTATATCGAGAATTTAATTTAATATTAAAACAATTACAATCTCAATTTTCGAATAAATTAATATATGTATACGTATTAAGTATATGTATATAATTTAAGGACCTAAATTTTCTTCAAGCAATCATTTTGAAACATTTTAGATAAACAAATGTTATTATTACATTTATTATTTGTAGATGTGATGAAAATGAAGACAATCCCGATTTCGCAGATATTATAAAGAAAATTCGAAATTTAATGTATCAAACTGAAGGAAAAGGAAATGAGGAAATTATTACAACAAATGAAGAACCTGAAGTACTTGAAGAATATTGAAAATAAATTTAATTTCTGCAAGAACCAAGAAATTTTTTAGTTAAAATTTATATTTTTTTTCTGTACTTTGTACTTTTTTCCCATTTTTATTTTTATAAATTTTGTGATTGTTTTATATAAATATTTAATATTAAAATTAAACTAATTGTTAATTATTAAAATGCAAGCAAGTTAAAGAAACAAAATTAGTTATTTATATTTGGAAATTAGAAAAAAACTTATTAATAATATTTCATTAACTTAATTTTAAAAACATATTTGTATATGTACTTATTAACAAAATAAATGAATCGTTAGAAATATTGTATTTAATAAATTATTGAAATTATTAAAAATATGAATTTCCACAATTTTGAATGAATATTTTGAGCAAAAGGGTTGTATTAAAAATAAATATAAGTAAAAAAATAATTGATGTTATAATTGAAATATGGCATAAATAATATTTTATTACACAATATAATTAAAAGACGTGAAAATAATTAGCATAGAAAACTTCAGTTCAGAAGTTTCAAAATATTCTTCTTTTAAATATAGTTCTAAGTTTTGCCCAAAAATTTATTGATCCTGGAAAATTTCTAACAATAGGTATCGATTTTCACATTATCACACCTAATGTATTAAATTGCAATAAAAAAGATTGAATATTTTAGAATATATAGGATCTGGAAAGATGTCTTTTTTAAAAATATTTTTTCAGATCCTATATTTTTCCAATTTTAATGAATTTATTTGAAATTTGCTAAGTTTAGTATAGTAATATGATGAAAATTATGTAACTGCAAATTGTATAAATTAACTTTATATCCAGAATTAGTTTGGTTATATTTGAATCTCTGCTCTATTAACATGACCATTATAGTAAATATAAATTGTTTTATATTGTACATATTTAATGTACGATTTATAGAGGGATTTAACAATTACGCGTTACACATAGTATCAAATTTTTTCATACACAAGTTCACTGATGAAGATTTCCAAAATTATATTATATAATATAATTTTAATTAAAAGTTGAAAAGACAGACAGTTATTCTTGAAAGGTGTTTTTTGTATTATTTCTACCAGTAAATGTTTTCTCTTCACTACTACAAGTAGTTTGTATCAGGAAGTAAACACTTTTCCAGCTCTTTTCTCTTTTGTTTAATATTTTTTTTTTGTTTTATTTTCTTTTATTAATTTGTTACTTTTCTTTTGAAAACTCATATTTATTGTGCAAAATAAATAAATATTTTTTTTATAACGTAAAAAATAAAATGCTAACTAGCTTTTAAAAGCATATTTTTATAATTAATGCCAATGTATTGAAAAAATTTTATTCTGAATCGAAGTACTTATGTTATTGTAAGATGAACAAAATCGTGCCCTTAAAGCGATACTTAAAAGCGTACACAAATCATGTATTCAAAAAGCATTTATAAAGAATGATGTGTTTAGCTCTTTATTTTGTACTTTTTTCCTATTTTATTTCTATTTTTTCTTCTTAAATGTACAATTTTCACTTTTGAAATTGTGTTTTTTAATAAAAGACTACATAAAGTTTCCCTTTTATCCTGTATTTTATATTTATAAAAAGGGTAATAAATAAAGGATGTAAAAAACATGCTCTTCAAACACTAGAAAACAATGCAATAACACTTGAAGAAATTCGATATAATAACAAAAAAGGAAGGAAAATAGAGAAGATTCCATCAATATTAGTCTTTTCTTAAAATGTTTTTGTTTTTAAAAAAATATGATTTTGAGTTTTTGTAATAAATTTGATTTATGTAAGGGTACGATTGTTAAGGAATGAAAGAACTTCAAATTACAATGGTTTTGAACATGGAAACAATGTAATTTGGAAAGAGAATTAAAATATTTGCCTCCAAATACCAAGAAATCAATCAAACATTTTCTGTCCTTTAAAAATATGGAATTTCTAAAAGAATCAAGCTTTTCTATGTAATAGAAACCAAAAAATGTACATTTATGGAAAAATGTAATAAATCAAACCAATGGGTTTCAACATTGATAAGTTGAGTACAAAAGTACAACTTTTCAATCTTAACAATTTGATAATGTACATAATTCGTTAAATAGGCTTTGGAGCAATATTAAGGCGATAATTTTGCAAAAATGTTGAAGTTTTGAGCAGTAAAAGAAAACTAGCTCTAAAAAAGAAATACAGCCAGTAGTTAAATTAGTTGGGAGGCCTCTTAACTAACATTGAAACGAGTTTCAATGGCAAAATATTTTGCTGTTATCACAAACAAAAGCAGTTTCATACGACTTTAGGAAATTGTAATATGATGGAAAAGATGAGAATTTTGTTCTAGAAAAATAATTTTCTCAGTACAATCTGATCTACTTCAGCATTTTTTCTTTTAAATATGCAATATTTAATTTGAACTTTTTCATTCAAATTTCATGCTAGTTTCTTAACAAATAATATATTTGTTATATTGATAGATCTTCAATGATACTTGCAAAATTCTTTATTAGGTTATTATTTAAATTTTCTTAGATACGTCATTGATTTATGTGCAAAACTTATAGAACCGTCGAAAAACTCAATTTAAGCAAGAGCCTAAAAATTGCCTGTATTAGAATTACCAAAGATTCCCACAGTTATAAGTTTTACAGCGTCAATAGGAAATAAAACTTTAGTTAGATGTCATTGTATTATACACGCACAAAGATTCAGAAAAATAAAAATTGTAATAGCAAAATTTTATTCCTTGATTGCAGCTTAATTTTTTTACAACTAAAACTGTACAATTTCGTTTTAGTATTTATCACACCTAATAATAATATTTTTTTTTTTATAAATAACATTTTTACTTATACTTACCGAAACATCATCATTCGGAAATAATAAAAGTTCCCTTTGAGGATCATTTTGAATGAGCGTTTTATTCTTTTGTACAAAACTCTCGAAATCAATTGGCTCAACGAGAAGCGGTTTATTCTAAAAAGAAAAGAAAAAAGAAATTTTTATATGTTTTTATTTTTTTTTTAAATAAATAATTTAATTTATTAAATGGAAAGGCGATGAACATAATATTTTCGCATTTTTTAGTTACCGCAGAAATTCCAGAATCAAAACACAAAAACAAGATTGAAAAAAATTTTTTTGCCTTTTAAAATACTTTTGAATAAAGAATTTATTTTCACTATGAAAAAGGAACAAAATGTTTTTGATTTTTTTCAATATGAATTTAAAAATGGCGGTTAAGTAAAAATTAATTTAATTTACTTTCATATCTTTTTAGTTTTATACAATTGCTTTAAATAAAATTGGGTTCTTTCTTTTTCAGATAATTTTAAATTATAAAATGGAAACATTTTGCTAGAAATTCCTGCAATTTTTTACATTATTTTTGGGTAAAGTCTAAATGTAGGGTCTGTACTTATAAATTAAAATAATATTATAAATGGCCGCAACTCGCAATTCTTTATAAAATTTTCTCCCTACATAGAAAGAAATGTGCCTATACATAATATTATAATTTAATAAAATATTGTAAACATTTCAACGCCTCTAGGTAGAAAAGAAAAATTCTTTAGTAAAAAAAGCAAACTTAAAAGTAAACATAACCTCTTTACATTCAATAAAAGTTCAAAAAAATAGAATAATGAACGCTTTCATTAAATAAAAAATTTACGTTTTATGATTATGTATGTATAAATGATAGTATGTATGTATACACACTTGCGAATATGTGTATGAGTATCTCACATATGTTCATACGGCTCTACAGTTAATTAATGTTTACTTCAATCAAAACCTAAAAAAACTCTTTATTGATGTTATAACTAATAGTTTATTTAATTTTAATTGATGTAAACTAATCTATACAGCAATTTATTTATAATAGAATCAAATTGATGCAAAAACAAATTGGATTGAGGTTGGTTAAGTTAAATGGGAGTAAAAGAATCATCAACGTCAAAATATGACGAGAAGTGGAATATAAGTATGTGCATGTTTGAATATAAACCAATAAGAAAATTGATCTAGGATTCTACGAGACTCGTAGCAATCAAGAAATATACTGGTGTAAAAATAACTCTGAAACCTTTTTATATTCGAAAGGCACTGTATTTGAATATAATTGCTGATTGGTTTTAACTTATAGGAGAAAAAAGGAGTCAGTAACCAATTTTTAGGCCTTAAAAATAAACTTGATCGGATTGCCAGTTTCTTGTTAGAAGCGCCTTTTGATTTATTTTCTTTTGGACACTGTTTCCATTGATATTCCTCAAAATGGTGCTCCTTCCACTTCTTTTTTACTTAGAAAATAAAATTAACTAAACCAAAAATTGGGGCCTTAGTTTAAAACACATGAAGTTTTTGTTTTGTTAAGAAATCCAAGTTCGTACCGACATTATTTTCAAAATAAAATAAAAACTTTCAACAACAATTTCCTAAAGTATTCAACTTTGATATTATATGTTAATAAAGTTATTCAAACATAAATATAAAATAGAACCAGTTAACTGATATTGCAGGGCATTCTTTTTATCTCATTTCATACTTTTCTTGTGTATATTAGGATGCAAGTAACGATCAGAAAATTAAATATGAAATGTCATAATATCAAAAGAAACCTAAAAAAAAAACATCAAACCTGCATATTGGTTGTCTTTAAAACGTGATTTTAAGTGCAATCTTCTTCCGTTTCGTAGTCTTGCATTTAAAGTTTTTGTCACAATTCTAAGTATGTTATATAGTAAAAAAAAAACATATGCGGAGTAAATATATCTCCGCATATGTTTTTTTTTATTACTTTATTTATACGAAAATAGTGATTTTTCTGTTTTGTTTTAACACAGTTTTCACTGCAGTGTGTTAAATTTTATTTTCTATTTGAAATTTTCAAAATAGACATGATCATACATAAATCAACAATTTATCAATATCTGAAATTACCTCTTCAGTATTGCTTACTTTTAGTCATATTCACATATATACATCAATGAACATATTATTATATATACACAATAAAAAATATTTTCCATATTAATTTTTAATACAATAAAATTAAATTTAAAAAATAAACTTATTTATTTGAAAAAAATTTTAAATAGAATTTCTTGCAATAAGCGGAATTGTAAGAGAAAATATTAAAATGATTGACAGCTTTTCTTCAATTGGAAATCTACAAGTAGCACTTAATATTCAAATTTGTAGGTTAGTTTTGTGTTAAATATTTTTTAAGAGCGTCGTACTATTTCAAAACTAATAATATGGCAAGATACATATATGTAACTGCAATGCTTGTTATGCAGGTTGGTAAAAATTTTACTTTTATTAATTTTATTTTATAAAATTTTTTTGAAACTCTTTTAGAACCCAACACACAATTCCAAATCTATGAAATAGGTAATCATTCTGTTTTTAATAATTAAATCTCATATTATACTGATCAACAATATACCATTACATGTTAACCAAATGTATAAGTTAAATGAAGGTGTTATGAATGGTTAAAAAAACCCAATGTACCTTATAGGCAAGATCCTGGCAAATATTATACATATTTCAAAAATTTATAATTTTCAACAAAAATCTCTTAAAATAAATGCATTCGATTAAAGTGTGTTAATTTATTCTAATGGGCAATCCTACATAATTTTAGTTCACGCACGCATATTATTATATTTTTAAAAGTTATGCTTATGACGCATAAAAACTTATCCAAAAAAACATTGAGTAAAATATTGCAAAAAAAATTTAATAAGCCCTAGTTAACAAGATTTTTTATCAGGAACCGAAATATTTTTATTGTCTGCCTCCAGTTCCCACTTTTGTTTTTCTTCTAAACGGCAATTATTTTTCTATACCGGCGAATAAATTTTACATAATTTAAAATAAAACATTATGCTTATTTAATCAATTTTAATAAAAATTAACCGTTTTTCGGGTTGTTTGCAGTAGGCCTATTAAACATTCTTTATGATCCAAAACAAAAGTACACAAGGATTGGTATGATTTTAACAACCAAACGAATTAATAATTAATTTAAAAAAACAATTTAGAGCAAAAAAAAAACAAATTAAAACAATTTTCAGCTTTTAAATGAATATTCACATACAATCATTGTTTTCAATCTTTACACACTTAAAAGATAACCCACAAAAAAATGTCATCATTCTTTTTTTTTTGAATGCAATAAAAAATGGAAAGCTTTGAACTTCAAACGTGACATTATGCATGGTAATTAAATAAAATAAAATGTAAAAAAAAAAACGGGAAAACAAATTCTTTTCACTAATAATTGCACAATTCTCAACGTAAGTAAAAAAAATGGCTGAAAACCAGTGTTTTTTATTAAATATTCGCTCGCGTAACTTACATTTTTAATCAAAATTTTAAAAAATCCATTTGTTATACTTATTTCTATACCATATGGATACTTACGAATAAACATCTAAATATTTTCATATACCCGTATACAATTGAAAATAATTGAAAATGAACAATTTAACTTTCGAAAAGAAAACAAAAAGAATGAAAAATTTAATATTGTAACAATAAAATGTTGACTAAATCGAATAAAAACAAAAACTAGTTCACATTGCACATAAAATTTTAGTTGTTTTTTTAATGTTAAAGTGACAACGTACCCGAATACAACACTTTTCGAAAAAGAAAATGTTTGATGTGTGTAGTTAGAAAACAAGAAAAAAAAAAGAAATACGGAAAATAAAAAGCAAAATTCAAAATATTTAGGTCTGAAACTTTTCGCGGTCACAATCAATCACAGCATATTGCGATAATACCGTATTTTATTCTGGTTTCTACTCTAAACATATCGTATACAATTTGTAAGGCATTGTTTTCGTATCAATTTGAAACAATTGCTCTCTATAATTGATAACGAAAATAAAAAGATGTGCACAATATGTATTTCTCTCTCGTTTTTTTTACTGTTCAATCAAATCACATCGTTTAAAATTACACTTGAAAAGGGGCTGTAGGATCTGGCTCTATATACAATATCCTCAACAAATAATAACACAGATTGCACTAATAATGTTAATTAAGCATTCATTAAAACGTAAGACCTGATTGTATATCCCTATGAGAGAAGAAAGCTAATTAGTATGTGCATTCGTGTAGTATTATTTTCATTCAGGGAGAAAAGTTTTTTCGTATTGCGCGTCCTATTTATTCAAAAATGTATAAATAATTAAATCACCATTTATATGCATTTTTTGAGCATCTGATATTTAAGACTAAAATTTCAGTAAGTATTTCTTCATCTACCTGAATGGGTCCCAAAAAAATCAACAATTGATTTTAAATTCTAATCTTTATAAAAGTTAAAATTTTAAGAATTATTGCCACAAAAATACACCAACCCTTTCTAATACACCAAAATATACCAGATCTGCTATATTTATGGGTAGAATTTCGAAGTTAGCCAAAACAATCGAATACATATTATGGTCAGTTGTATTATGGCCACACCAAATTTTTGAATAATTTTTTTTTCAACCAAAGCCTGACGAAAAACGAATGTTATATGTATATGTAGATATATGTAGATGTATTTGAGGCAAGAATAAATATAAAATAACGTATAGGGAAGTAAATATTCAGTGCATGAAATATTTAGAATAATGTGGTGCTTTGCAGTTTCAAAATATACATAAATATGTATGTATGTATGTTTGTATGTATCTAAGTAGTTAGTAAGAATAAAATAAACAAATTCCCAGTGATATTTAGCAACCAGCGACAAAAAAATATGCTTTTTAAAACAACATAAATAATAATAAATAATAATTTTAAATTGAAAAAATAAAATAGAAGACAATGATCATTATATTTTATAAAAATTTGCCTATACAAATTTTTACAAGTATGGGTTAAACATAAAAGAGCTGCCATGAAAAATTGTACGACTCATTATTTTATTATAATTGTGTACTTCCTTTCCAAGCAACGCTATAAATTAA